AAAACAGGCCTGTTTTCATGAAAAATGGGCCGTTTTTTGCTTGCCCCCCCCCCTCCCAGCCACCAGTAGCACTTTGCAGTCCTCTCAAACTCTCTGCATGCCCTGTTTTTCACAAAAATATGAGGTGTGCAGAGGGTTTGGGAGGTCTGCAGAGTGCAAACGCTTTTTTTTAAATTTGCCTTTTTAAAATCTTGGTGCGCCTTATACCCCGGTGCGTCTTCTACTCCCAAAAATACGGTAGATCAAATTAATAAATACATTTCATTCATGTTTTTTTTCCTAATGTTTGGATTGATTTCTTTGCTGTTTTTAAAATATTGGTTTTTAATTTTAAATCCCATTGGATACAGAATGTTAAAAAACAGAAATAAGCAAGCTCTAATTCACGTAGTCTAACTCAGTGGCCCACAATCTTTCGGGAACCAAGGACAGATTCCGTGCAGAAAGGTTTTTCCATCGACCAGAAGAGGCGTGGTTTCGCACGCTGCCTGCATTCCCTGGATGGAGCTTCACTTGTTTGCACAGCCCAGTTACTGACATGCTGTGGACCGATGCTGGGCCCTGGACTGGGGGTTCGGGACCCCTGGTCTAACTCACCTCCGTTATTATAGGGTTGATTTCATGGATTACAATAATTTCCTTGTCGTTCTGGATACTGGAATGATCTCCATTCAGCATTGGAGCAAGAATATTATATGGGACGTAACCAACTTGACCATAACAATTCTGGGCTTTCCACCACTTCTTACTATCATCAAGAACCTAACAACAAAGAAAATATTTCCATATAAGCAGAGACAACATTCCAGCCAGTTTTTGTGATACTCACAACTGTCCTAATTCAGCTTCGTAAATAATTCCATTTCTGCCAGCAGTGCACAATTTACTTTTCACATAGAGGCACTTGGCCTCTACCAAGGAAAGTCACATGATTTCACATGTGCAAACACGTCACAATTATTTAACTGTTGCTAATTTTGCAGAAGTTCTGCATTTATTTGTTTGCTTCTCTTTTGTGCCACCGTTATTTCTTCATAAGTAATATAATAGAGCTTATACAGGAAGAAAAGTGGATTTTCTCCAATTAAGAAATACTATGCTTAATTGGGTAAATGGCCTAGATACAAGTAGACCTCAATTTACAACAGTTGGTTTAGTGCCTGTTCAAAGTTACTGTGGCACTGAAAAAAGTGACTTATGACCATTTTTCATATTTGTGACTGTTGCAGCATCCCCATGGTCACATGATGAAAATTCAGCTGCTTGGCAACTGGTTCATATTTATGATTCTTGCAGTGATCCCCTTTTGCGACCTTTTGCGACTTTGCGAGCAAAGTCAATGGGGAAGCCAGATCCAATTAACAATTGTGTTACTAACTTAACAACTGCAGTGATTCACTTTACAAATGTGTCAAGAAAGCTGGTAAAATGGGGCAAAATTGACTTAATAACTGTTTCACTTAGCAACAGAAATTTTGCACTCAGTTGTGGTCCTAAGTCAAGAACTTCCTGCGAGTGTGTGTGTGTGTTTCAGTGGTGGGTTCCGGATCCTGTTCCAACCGGTATGGTTGGAATGGGCCTGGCGTCACCCACATGGACACGCATGCATTGGACTTGCCTGCGTCGCTTCCGCAAGCCTCCGCAACACTCCAGCTGCTTAAAGGACAGGTAAGGAGCTCGGCGGGCGGATGGGCCTTCCAGAGCACCCTACCGGAATGGTAACCGGTGCTCCGGGCAGGCTCCGATACGCCTATACCGGGGTGTACCGTCTGCAACCCACCACTGGTATGTATAATGGTATCAATATAAAATATAATACATTAATATATAGAATACACATTGAACTTTATGAACCAATGTATTCTATATGAATTAACATATTTTAAAATAAAATATATATTTGTAACTGAATACATAATTTCTTGACTTTCTTATACCTTACAAAATTGACTATGTATCTTCCTCTTATATGTATCATATCATTTTTTGCTTTTTTCCATACATCTTTACTGCTGTTATCCATGTATTTCATACCATACACTAAGGAAATAAATCCTTTATAAGTAATTCTTGAGTAACTCAAGGTGGTGAACAGGTATAACACTCTTCCTCTTCCTATTTTCCCCACCACAACCACAATCACCCAACCAATTTTCATATTAAAATTTCAGGTTGGTAAACAATTGTTGTGTTTCCAAATTTTGGGATTCCCAAATGCAATCATCTTCTTTATATTAAAGATTCCGCTGTTCTTTTTGGCATGGTTGATACCATGGTTGGCATAAATTCACCTCTAATATGTCTCCTTGAAGCACCGACAGTTCATTGCTGTTTCTGGCTGTGAAGTTGTGGGTGCAGATCACTGATTTCTTCTCTAAATGTTTGCACCTGTGAGGGAGAAGGAAGACGCATTGGATTTAATGCAAGAATACCTATGATCTGTGTGGATCAGATTTCACATCTAAGGAATTCACTTCGTTTTTACGTATCCCCAAGATCTGTTCACCTGAGACAAATTAATGAACATAGCAAGTTGATTTATGATTAAGGAACAAGGTTGCCTCTTAGCACATAGTCAATAAATTTGTTTTAGATGAGGTCAGTTAAATTGGTACCTTGGTACTCATTGTTAATTAGTTCCGGGAGGTGCAATCGGTGCCAAATAAGCTTTCCCCATAAAGAATTATGTAGTGAGTCACAAGGTAGCTGACACCAACAGGTTCTAGCTTATGCATTGGATACCAAACAAATGATGAATACCAGGACAAAATTTTCACATCAAAATGTGTTGGGTAATTCTATGAATTTTAAAACAGCTGAGTACTAAGGTACCACTGTCTATGCATATCTTATCTTTCCAAGTTTTCCTCCATGCTAGTCACCCAATTTAGACCCAGAAAACTTTATTCTTTCATTTCATATTTTCTGAGAATCAGAAAACCTATTGCAAATTTGCTATCCATTTCCCATTCTTCCTAATCAGTCACCAATGGAACCAGAGATTTATCTGGGGATGGGTGTCATTGTGTTTTATTGAAAGTTTTAGAGATGAGTACTCCCAAGATTATGTCCGTCTCATCTCCCATTCCTTTCACTTTCACTTTGATGGAAATATTCTCTGTCCACCAAAGAGATGTGGTTTTAATTTAGTTTATTCTAAAGCCACACAAGTTATTCATTCACTTAGTTTCTTTTTAAAGTTCCTCTTACTAAACATACACATCTTTTCTCTAAACCTGCAGGTGGCATAACCCATCTTCATATAAATACGAATGCTCACCAGAAACAGATGGGGGAATTATTCTTAAGATGCTGCTGTTGCAATGTATAAAAACAGGCCATGCATTTTCTTCCTTAGAACTACTGTTTCCAGGGGTGTTTGGTGATGGTATGTGTGTCAACAAAGTCAAAATGGTGGCCACAGCCATATGACCAAAGCCCTCTCATATATATATATATATATGCACATAGAAAGGTTCAGGCTTTGATCACATACAAGTAGTCCTCAACTTCTGATTACAACTGAGCCCAAAATTACTATAGCTGAGATGCTTGTTAAGTGAGTTTTGCCCCGTATTGTGATCTTTCTTGCAACCGCTGTTAAGTGAATTGCTGCAATGGATAAATTAGTAACCCAGTTATGAAGTGAATCTGGCTTTCCCGTTGACTTTGCTGATCAGAAGGTCCCAAAAAGTGACCACATGATCCTGGGGCACTGCAACCACCATAGATATGAGTCATTTGCCAAGCGTCTGAATTTTGATCACGTAATCATGGGGATGTTGCAGAGGTCGTAAGTATGAAAAACGGTTTAAGTCATTTTTGTCAGTGCCGTTGTAAATTTAAATGGTCACTAAATGAACTGCTGTAAGTCGAGGACTACCTATAGCCTGTAGCAACCATCTTGATTTTTTTAACATTCCCCTTGTGAATACCCCCAACTACTTCTTTACTTGCAAATATATGCAATTCACATAATTCAGCAGTCCCTGATCTTTGTGGCTTGGCAGCCTGGGTTGGGGCGGGGCGGGGGGTAGTAGAGGGAAACTGGGCTGCATAAGCTCAATTCATGTGAGCAGCAGGTCTGTGTATATACACATGCACACACGCACGCACACACACACACACAGCTCAATTAGAGGAGTTGAGTCAACTAGCAGAGGCAAGTTGAGTTGTGTGTGTACCCATGTGTACATGTACACTGGCCCACCGCATGGTCCGGGGATTGGGGATTCCTGCTACAGACCAGGGGCCTGGCCTGTTTGAAACTGGGCCACAGGAGAAATGCACAAGCACACTTGCGTGAAGCTCCAGTCATGCAAGTGGAGCTTCAAACATGAGCACAAGCGTCCTTCGCTCAAGCACCGTCTACTCACGTGAATGGCGCTTCATGCAAGTGTGCTTGTCCATTTCTCCCACAGCCCAGTTTCAAACAGGCTGCATGTCCTATAGTGGGACATAGCCCGGGCGGTGAGGATTCCTAACACAATGGACTAAAAGAATTATTGTTAAGTTTTCTGTTCTTCTGTCAGCATAATTAAAACAGTGCATTTTTTAAAACTGAAATTGTGCTATTGAACAAGAAAAAATACAAAGACTAAGAAACAGTAATAAAAAGTTAAGCAACTTTGCTCTTGACAGGTAACAAAGCTGATCCATTAAAAAGAACCCAAAAGAAGAACACTATTAATTAAAGGCCCAGAAGTCCTGAAAATTTCCATAGATCTTGGTCTACATCACAGCAAAGACAAGGATGAGATACAGAAGTAAGCAGAAGAAGTTTGGTCAATGGGATGATATAACTGACAATTCTTGTGTCATCAACTAATTAAGCTACTAAACATTTTAAGTGTTAATAAATAAGGGTTAATCTAGTTAATAGTTGAGGGTTAGTAAACGAATTGTGAAGTATTATTTACGTCATGCCATTTTAATCTAGGTGTGTAAGTATAATAAAGAATGAAAGGGTAACTCCCAAATACAGAGTTAATAGTGGTAACTTCTGTTTTATTCAACTGGATATAAATATCCAACACTTCCTTCAATATCTTAAATTGACACTGATACTGGATTTGGGCATCGTGTGAGTGCATTTCAATTTAGCTCATTTTAAACAGATTAACTATCTTTATTTCAAGTTTAGATTATCTTGTTTCATGTTCATTCAATATATGCTGGGTTTAGGGGTAAAGCAATTGTGTATCTATTCATCCGAAATTTCATGCATCCAGCCAATAAAAATACGTGAAAGAAAATTGCAAGATGGCTAGCTGTTACCATCCATCTCAGTAGCAAAGTGACCAACTCTGGTCATGCCCAGATTCACGAAGATTACCCAATTACAGAATAGGGGGAAAATGTGATATAGAAGGAAGGAATAGATAATGACCAGGTAAAGGCCAAAATGAGATATTAGTTTATACCCGTTGCCTCTTTCTTTAATAAGTGGCATTTCCTACCAGAAAAGTCACCCTGAACCATCTACAGTATCTGCAATCCTTCTTCCAGCTAGATTTTATGAGGATCAGAGCTGGACTGGCTGGGACACCCATCTTGCAAACTGGTTCTGAGAAGGATAGGAATTCAAGAAGAAGAAGAAAAAGGAGACACCCAATTCCCACCCCACTCCAATACTACCTTCACTGGCTGGCCAGTGTGCTCCTCTTGGTTTTCTTCTGAGCGCCATTTTTATTTAAAACCGCTGTCTTCTCATTTTTGTCCGGTTACGTTTCCCTTCTGTGCCCACCACCAAAACACCTGGTCCCCCTGGCTCTTGCTTCTTGCCTTTTGGAAGACTCTCGTGTGTCTCTGCCTCTCCTCCTCCAATCGTCTTCCTGCTTCCAGAGCTTTTCCCCTAATTGCTTTGCTCCCATGCATCAAAGTCTCATCCAAACCAGAGGTCAGCAGAGGAGAAAATAACTGGACTCCAGTTCCTTTCCTGTTCTCCTTCAACTCGCTTCATTTTCTGTTAAAGTAACCTGGGTTCCCAAGTCTTGGTCCTCTATTTTATTCTCCTAGACTTCTTGGGAGACCCAAGTTTCTTCCTCTCTTTTTATCTCCAGGGAAAGGACTTTTGTTCATTGGTTCCCTGCCAAGTCCCTGTCTCCCTGGGTCTCCAAAGGATAAATTAAAAGGTTCCCTTGAGCTGCTCCTTGTGCTATTACTTTGTTCTTTTGTTCTCTGCTCCTGTACGTTATGAACTTACTGCATGCTGTTTTGACTGCAAAAGAATGAGCTTGGGCAATATCAGAGTGTGCTTTTTACCACAGCCATGTTCATATTAACACAAGGGAGAACAGGGACATTTTCAGAGAACTATTGGGAAGGCAATGTCCACCACAGACACCATGAGGGCGAGGCAAAACCTGGCGTGAGAAGACTCAGGTTCTACTTTATTTTTCTGCCAATAATTCTCTCTCAGCCAAACCTTCCTCCTAGGGATGGGAGAAAATGGAGGGGAAAACACCAAGTACAGGTAGCCTTCGACTTACGACCATAATGGAGCCTCCTGATAAGATTTCGACAGTTGTAAAGTGATCCTCACCAACAGTGAGGGAGTCAAGTGGGCCTTGCTTCCATAAGTGTTGGACCAAACAAAACTGAATAATTTGGGTACTGGCTTAAAAAAAGAACTGCTTTGTCTCATTTTGAATTCCTTGCAAAAGAATTGGAAGTCTGGCAATGTTTACTACCATGTTTCCCCCAAAATAAGACAAGATCTTATTTTCTTTTGACCCCCGAAATAAGTACTTGGCCTTATTTTTGGGAAGGTCTTGTTATTTTTGAGGTGCAGGAGGCGGTGAGCATAGTCACCTCATGGCTGCTGCTCTGTTGCAATATTTTCAGGGGAGGGCTTAATTTAGCGCATGCACTCAAAAGCCCAATTGGGATTATTATCTAGGAAGGTCTTATTTTCAGGGAAACAGGGTAAGTCAAACTTGTAGTCTTCAGTTGCATAACTGGGCTCAGTCTTTCTAATCCGCACACAGACACTGTTTTTTTTTTGGGGGGGGGGGTTAGACTGAAAGGCATATGTTGGGGATATTCTAGAAATTGAAATTGATTTAGTTTTGCAGCATGAAACCTAGTATGGAAATATTATCTGAAAATGTTTCAAAAATTGGTATTGATATTGTGCTTTTATTATTTTTAGAAGTAACTAAAGGTGGCAAACACAACTTCTGCTACTTCCTCATATTTTCCTCACAAAAAACTATGAGGTGAGTTGAGGTGTGAGAGAGAGTAATTGGCTTTAAGCACCCAACCAGTTTTCATGCCTAAGGTGGGACTGGAACTCACAGTCTCCTGGTGATTGATCCAAAGTCAACCACCCGACTTGCATGCTTAAAGCCTTTACCACTAGACCAAACTGGCTTTGTCTTCATTATCATTCAACTTTGACAAAGGTTGAGCAAATTACACTATAAATATATGTGTACTTGGGTACTTAGTAAGAATCCTGTGTGATCCTTTTGTATCACATTCGAAGATAACAGCTATCTGTTATTCAGTTTTTGAGGCGGGTCTATTCCCAACATACAACAAAATTGGTAGATGCTATCTCCACCACGAGGTAGAGCAAAGAAGGGGAAATACTCATGCTTGTGTATATGTGCATGTACACACATACACTCCCAACAGGAGAAATTATCAATTGTCTTTCCATTCTTGTAAAGTTCCTTTATCTCCTTTCATCTGCGCATTTCGCCGGATAGCTATAAAAATGAGCTCTTATCAGCAGAAATAACAATTTTTACTAGCTGCTGCTTCCTCTTTCTTTATTTCAAGACATAATCCCAGAGTTCTCCCACAGGGCAAACACGTTACTTGGCCCAGAATTTAACTAAGAATTTTCTCCAATTCTGTGGTATTGTGTTTCCCAGTTATCTTTTGGTAGAGCTCAAAAGCATGGATGTGTTTTAGCTCCTTTTACAGGATGTAAAAAACCCAGAGACCTCTCCATTCTAAGAATTAAGAAAAGGGAGCGGTTACTAGCAAGGATTATTTCCAGTGACACATTGAAACTTTTAGTTTATTTTTTGTACTCAAGCATTGCTGGTCAAATTCAGAATTTCTAGCATCACTACAAAACAGCCGTCTGGTTTTAATTTATTTTGAGAACTATGAGAGATTCCCCTTCTTCCCTGCCACATTATCAACTGATTATTAGGTGCTTCCCCATATCTGCATATATATGTGTATGAATAAATTAATCAGAATGTATGAATATGTGCATAAAAAGAGTAGGAAGAAAATTCCATTCTTAACTAATTTAATTCAAGGCCTCTACAATTGGTACATCTTTTGTTAGTTTACTTATGCTTAGCTCTTGAGTAAGTCATTATGTACTTATCTAGGCTACAAACTTTAAAAACAAATTTTAACAGTTAATTTGTTTCCCTAGACAACTAATCCTAGTTAACCTAATCATGGTATAATTCTTCGATTGAGAGATAGTTAGAATAACATTTGAAATACAGACATTTGTCAGCATAGCTCAATTCAAAGCACTACATAACAGATTAAATGTCAATAAATTGAGTGAAGATTGACATGCCAGAATATTTTGGCTCTTTTTGATCTTGGCAAGAATCAAGACTCTTGAGATCTTAGGATAAATGAATTTAGAGAACCATGAGAGAAGGAACTTACAAGTTCTGGAAGCTATGCCACAAATATCCATTCTAACAACTTCTCAATTATTTCTTATTATCCAATAATAAATAAAGTACTTATTAAATGTCCTTAAAAGAGGACAGAGAATGAAACAGGACTGAAATACAAAAGACTTGATGGGGAATTTTACGTCACTTATCAAATTTTGTGATCAGAGGCCCTCTTGCTTTGAAGGCATGTTGGGCCAGTTGGATTCCTAGCTACCAATACTTGTAAGTTTAGATTCAGGACAACAATTTGAAATCCTTACTCAGCATCTAATGGTTGCTGATCACCAAAAGCACCCTTCACCCTGGCAAAAACCTGCAATTATTAACTACAACACACCATCACCTGCCCTAAACTAAGCTTCTGAGTGTCCTACCACCACCATATCCCTATCCTAGCTCCTATCCATGGCTTTACCATCGGACCCAGCTATTCCCAGAGCAAAGATAAACGGATAGAGAAAAATAGAAAAAAAATAGATTTTTAGAAAAAGAGGAAAGAGAAGGGGGGGAAAGCAATGTAGAATTCACCTAAGCATTTCATAAACGACTCACAATTTTCAATCTGAGAAAACCTCCTAAATGTTCAAACACTTTACCCAATTTATCCAATCTGATCACCAACTTCTAAAGAACCCATGATGAATCCTTACACACCTAACCCCTAAAATGTTAATCTTACCCTCCATCAACCTTTCATTTATCCTCGAAAATTCTCTTCCCAGTGGGACCAGGGAAGGGACTGGAATTGTGCGCCCAGCAAGACAGGCCCCTCGATTCATATTAGTTCCCTTAATGCTACAATGGGGATTATACTGGGTGTGATGACCATGATTGAGGAAGCCAGAAGTTCTTCATCTAAGGAAGTGGAAAAGTTCTACTTTCTCCAACATTGCATGCGTTCTGAATATCCCAAATATTCAATTTCTTTAAGTAAAAAAAGATTCCCCTTGCACATCTGTGCTAGTCGTTCCTGACTCTAGGGGGTGGTGCTCATCTCCATTTCAAAGCCAAAGAGCCAGCACTCTCCAAAGATGTCTTCGTGGTCATGTGGCCGGCAAGATGCTGAAGGCACATAGAACGCTGTTACCTTCCCACCAAAGGTGGTTCCTATTTTTCTACTTGCATTTTTATATGCTTTCGAACGGCTAGGTTGGCAGAAGCTGGGACAAGTAACGGGAGCTCACTCGTTAAACAGTGCTAGGGATTCGAACTGCAAAACTGCCAACCTTTCTGATCAACAAGTTCAGCGTCTTAGCCACTGAGCCACCCCATTCAATTTCTTTACTTCCTCTTTAAAAGATTTCATGCAACAGGAATTAGGAAAAGCTCTTTCGGCCTTTCATTCTGGCCTATTGTTGCAACTCATAGGAGATGTAATGCTGGTCTAGGATGACCAGTCTTTGGATTCATACAAATATTGCATTATGGGATTGCTCTACAACTCTTTGAAAGTCCCTACATCTTAGATACGATTCTTCAGATACGGGCCACCTGCAGGGGTTGTTCAGAAAAGCCAAGTTGGCAACTGCAGACGCACCATCAAAGTATTGCTCCTTTTTATGTATAATACATATACAGATGGTCCTTGTTTAGGATTGGAATGGACAACTTGGTCATTAAGTGAAATGGTTGCTAAGTGAAATGGAGCTTATGGTCTTACTTCAGCTTTCCTTTGCTTTATAGCCCTGAAAAGGCCATAAATGAGAGAACTGGTCATAAAGTTATCATCTCTGTCATAACTGCAAGTGGTCACTAAATGAGGCCGTTAGTATTGCCCCTTGATACAATAGGGATATTGTATCAAGGGGCAATACTTTGAACATGCATTCTGGGTCATTTTTTTGATGCTCCTGCATTGGAAGTTAATTTTAAAATTGCATGTTTACAAAAGGTAATATATATGTAGGTGTGCAGGGGTGTTAAGAGTGGAAACTAATTCTACAGGCAATCCCACCCTAGTCATTAAAATCCTTGTCTTTCCCAATCTTCCCTTTTAATTTTTCTTTAAATTCTAAATGCTAAACCTCTTTTATAAACTCCCCATTTATCTCTGCAAATAACCAATCCATTCTCAAGATGTTCACCAATATCTTACCCATTGGCTGCAATTGTGGGGGCCGATTGCTGCAAATAGAGAAACAGTAAAGTTAGTTTGGTCCATCTCAAGTCACTCTTTCTCAAATTCTCCTTCCAGTTCATGGACAGGAATTATACAGAATATGTATAATTGGAACTACTGGTAGTTTTAAGCGAACTAGAACCTCCATTTGTTTGAGCTGGAAAAACACTTAATTTTTAAAGAATGTGCTATGGCTATTCTTTCAAAGCTGGAGGACTTATCTGTTCATAAAATTCTTAGTGTGAGGAATTATTTTAAAGCTATTTGCTCAAGTGTTCTGTGGTGGTATGTGGGAATGAACAGAACAGAATAGAATAGAATAACAGAGTTGGAAGGACCTTGGAGGTCTTCTAGTCAACCCCCTGCTCAAGCAGGAGAGTCTTTACCATTTCAGGTAGGTGACTGTCCAGTCTTTTCTTAAAAGCCTCCAGTGCTTTTAAGAAGAGACTGGACAGTCACCTCTGCACAAATTCTGAAGGCAAGTTGTTCCACTAGTTAATTTTTTTAACAACCAGTAACTTTCTCCTTAGTTCTAGGTTGCTTCTCTCCTTGATTAGTTTCCATCCATTGCTTTTTCCCTTCCCTTCTGGTGCTTTGGAAAATAGGTTGACCCCCTTAAATATTGGAATATGATTTATTCCATGGCTTAGCTTGCAGCCCCCACTAATCATCTTTGTTGCTCTTTTATGCACTTTTTTCAGAGTCTCATTTTTGAATGATCTTGGAAAACAGGAGGGATATCCATTGTCTAGGCTACAAATCTTTCTCTTGTCCTTTCCCACATACCATCAGGCTTGTTCCTGAAGCATTCAAGAATGCATGAAGCCATGGTGGTGCAGTGGCTGGAATGCAGTACTGCAGGCTGAATCAGCACATTGCCAGGAGTTCGATCCACATCAACTCAAGGCTGACTCAGCCTTCCATCTTTCTGTGGTTGGTAAAAGGAGGACCCAGATTGTTGGGGGCAATATGAGTCTGTAAACCGCTTAGAGAGGGCTGTAAAGCCCTGTGAAGCGGTCTATAAGTCTAAGTGCTAGTGCTATTCTTCTATAAGCTATCCCTTTTTCTGGAAAAATGAGCAATCTAGTAAATATGCGTGCTTCCTAGAAGCATATGATTGGCCACGGAGAAGGCATAGGCTGGCTGTGTGAATCTATGTGAGTGTTGGATAGCTCTGTGCTTAAAAATATAACAAACAAGGAAAGTTAATTTGGCGTGTTCCAAGTCCTCCCAATTAAATAATGTCATATCACTTGCCTCTGGAATAGCTTCCCTCTGAAGATCCTAGACTTCCTACCCTGCCCTCATTTGAAAGATCATGCAAACATAGTCTTAAAGTGGGTGACAAATGTTTATATGATAATGTCTGTTGAGCTAGACTTTTTATGCAGAGGGATGTGCAGGGCAGAGGTGATGTTTTGGTGTTTTTTTTATTATATGGTATTTGTACTGCAAGAGCCGAGGTGGCACAGTGGTTAGGGTGCAGTACTGCAGGCCACTTCAGCTGACTGTTATCTGCAGTTCGGCGGTTCTAATCCCACCGGCTCAGGGTTGACTCAGCCTTCCATCCTTCCGAGGTGGGTGAAATGAGAACCCGGATTGTTGGGGGCAATATGCTGACTCTGTAAATCGCTTAGAGAGGGCTGAAAGCCCTATGAAGCAGTATATAAGTCTAACTGCTATTGCTATTGTACTGTTTTTATTGTTGTAAGCCAAGAGTCATTGTGGAGTTGGGCAAACTTATACATTTAAATAAATAGAGAAGTAGTAATTAACACGTTAGACTATGGACCAGGGAGGGCTTACGGAGGCTGCTTAGGTTTTATTTTCTCCAGCAGCCAAAACATAATATGTGAGAGAAGGGTGGGATAGATGCAGTGGGCCAAATGGAGCTCTGCAACTGACCAGCTTCCTTTGGGTTTTGCTCTTTGCAACAGAGACATTCTACTTCCATTTCATTCTGGAAAACACTACTTTCCTGCTGGATCTCTTTGTCTTGCTGATCCTAAAATGGACACTCTGCTGCAGGGGTGTCAAATTCAAAGCCTGGGGGCCAGATCCGGCGGCCCACGGAGTGCTTGGGCCATCCTGGAAACAGTGAAGGACCAGCCTGCCTCTGCCAGTGAAAAATGGAGCTTGGGAGGCCTACTGAGCTCCATTTTTGCTGGCAGAAGGTTGCAGGAGGCTGTCGCAGCTGAAAACGGAGCTCGTCAGCTTATTTCCACTGGCAGAACGCTCAGGTCACCACAGGCGCCCCCAACACGAGTGACGTCGAGCTGGCCATGCCCACCCCAGCCCTCTGAGGTCAAGTACAACCCTGATGTGGCCCTCAATGAAATCAAGTTTGACACCCCTGTTCTACTGTATGAATATGTCCCCCAACAGTAAACAGCCCATGGTAGAGCTGAGGCAAGGAGGACAGCCACAAACGTAATACTCTGAATATCCTACATCTGAGGAAGTCCTTGTGCCAATTTAACCTCCAAAGTCATCCAATGGTGCAAATAAAATGGAAATCGCTGGTCTGAAAAAAATATATTCCACAAGCAGAAGCAACAGATCCATGGCAGCATTACTTCAGGCATTTGGTACTAAAGAAACAAGCTGCTTGCACAATAATGTCCTTTTGTTTGAAATGCAGCAAAACAGATACAACAAAGTATATAAAGTTGGGAAAGGGAAAGCGAAAGACAAGGAGAGGATGACCAGTACCAAATGGATGGACTTAGTTACAGAGTTACAGTGGCAATGGGTATGTACTAGAAGACTTGAAGGACCAAGTTTGCAGATTGATCCTCCTGGAGAAGATCTATTGTTGGCGCAAAATCAATCAAAACCTGCAGCATGTAACGTATGCAAAGATAATCTACTTCAGAGGTGGGTTGCCTCCGGTTTAACTACAGGTTCACTTTGTGCGCACTTTGCGCATGCACAGAACAATTTACAGTGAACTGGGCACGTGCATGCACTACTAAACATGCTGGCAACAGCAATAGCGACTAGATAACTGGTTCGTGTGTGTGTGTGTGTGTGTGTGTGTGTGTGTGTGTGTGTGTGTGT